GAGGGAGATGGTCCGGGATAGAGAGACCTCTGAGGGAGATGGTCCGGGATAGAGAGACCTCTGAGGGAGATGGTCCGGGATAGAGAGACCCCTGAGGGAGATGGTCCGGGATAGAGAGACCCCTGAGGGAGATGGTCCGGGATAGAGAGACCCCTGAGGGACTCGGACTGGGACAGAGACCCCTGAGGGACACGGACCGGGACAGAGATCCCTGAGGGACACGGACCGCGACAGCACTCCGAGGGTCCGGCTCTTTGTCCCCACCACCTCTGACACTCCCGTGTCTCACACACAACACAGCACACACGCCCCTTACAGCCACTGCAGTTCCACCGTCCTCGTTTGGAGGATTAGGATACTGTCTATTTTCCAGAGGGGAAAAACAACTACACCAAGGGGATGCTTTGGGCAGATACGAGTTTTCCTACCATAACTTCAGTGGCTGGGTCCTGTGATAGACATTGGCAGAGTTAGGATGAAAATGAGCAGTAGTTTACAAACCTGGGATTTTTCTCTTTCAATAAATGTCTTGAGTCAAATACGTGATTAAAAAAAGCAAATCTTAGAATCATGGAATGGTTTGGGTTGGAAGGAACCTTAAAGACTCCCTCCTGGGCAGGGACACCTTCCACCAGCCCAGGTTGCTCCAAGCCCCGTCCAACCTGGCCTTGGACACTTCAGGGATGGGGCAGCCACAGCTTCTCTGGGCAACCTGTGCCAGGGAAGAATTTTTTCCCAATATCCCATCTAGCCCAGCCCTCTGGCAGTGGGAAGCCATTCCCCCTTGTCCTGTTACCTCATCAAAATTCCCTCTCCAGCTTTCTTCAGGCACTTGATTCTGTAAATGTTGTGCTCCAAAGGCAGGTATCACCCCTGTGTCTGGGGGAGCAGGGCAGTGGAGCCACAAGCCCAAGGCCGTATTCCAGGTGGAGAAGCTAATGTTTCCATGGCCAGTGCCAAAAGGGGGATAATACCTCAGCTCTCCCAGGGTAACTGTACCAGGTAAGCTTGCTGCTGTCTCAGGTACCTTGCAGGTGGATAAATGTACTTTTATTTCACAAATTAACCACAAAACTCCCATAACACAAGCCACTGAATTGACATCTTAGCAAATGGGTTACTACACCTCCACTTTCATTCAGCTGTGGAGAGCTGCAGGTGTCCTGCTCGTGTTTCCAGCTGCAAACGAGCTGTGCCATGGAACTCCAGGGTGGACTACATGTGGTTTCCATGGTCTAAACTCAGCTCTGTGTAAAGCATGAGTAGATTACTGCAGGAGTTCACTCAGGATCATGCTTGGTCTTCAACTTTTCACGGGGAACTAAGGGTTCCAGCAGGAGGCTTCACCCCATTCCCAAACTCACCCTGTCTTTTCTGCAGCTTTCAAGAGAGGCCGGGATAACAACATGGGGTGTAGAACCCACAGGCCAAAAGCTGCCTTTGGAATCCACAGGGAACAGAAACTTCTTGCAAAGTAGAATGAAAACAAAGCAGTATTTGAAAACTCAATAGTCTTTCCTCTCCATATAGTGAATTTACTTTGCAGTTACTTTCCTCTCTAAAGCAGCCCCTTCCACCTCACTAATATTAAGTGTAAGTGGAGTATAAGTGACTTGTTTTTGCAGAGCTTTTTGAAGAGGGAGGGGTGACATTGCCAGAATTTCAGTGTTTGTTTGAGGTGACTCATGATTTCGTCACTGATGGAAATAACTACCTGTCGTTAAAAATAACAAGTCTCCATTTCAAGCACGGCACAAACACATTCACCTCCCCAAAATACAGGGTCTGAAGTACAAGTATGTGCAGGTGCTGCACAAACACCTTGTGACCACACTGGGCTGAAAGAATCTCAGCAGCTGAGCTGTCCTGAGCTTTGGTATGAAAACACAGCCCTAAATCTAATGTAGGTCTTAGTCTAAGTCAGGCTCTAAAGCCATCCCCTGATACTAATACCAGCAGGTACTGAAGAGAATAAAATGAATTTCATATTTTGGAGCATGGTGGTCGATAGAGGAACATCAGGGCCAGTCCTACCTGTGAAACACCACAGGCTTTTCATCTTCAGGGCAGTGAACAAGGCCCAGGAGAGTCCCAGCAGCACCAAAACAGGCTGTGGGCTCAGCACTGGGCGACCTGCAGTGGCATTTCAGGCCACCTACAATTGCTTCCAAATCGAGGTTATTCTGCAACAAGCTCCTTTCACCTCTGTTGTAGCAGGAGTCGCACTTTAGAAATGGAGAAAACAGGAGAACAAACACAAGAAGTAAATTACCTTGCTGTTAAAAATGGCAATAATTTATCTCATGATGATATAGCACAGCTTCTGTGCTCTGAACCCTGGTTGTGTTTGTGAGCACAGCTAGTCCATACTCTCACAGTGCAGGTGTGATTGGTGCAAATATTTGTTACTGAGATATTCTGTGTTAATCTTTTCAGTGCAAATTCAGAAAATGCAATTTTTAAAAGGGTTCATACCACATATATTAACGTGTCAATAGAAGTAGCAAAGGAGCAGCAGGTTTTTGTGAGGTTTGCTTTAAGACATTTGAGTTGGAGACTCCTGGAATGAGTGAAGTTCCACCAGTCAGAGGGATTTTGGCTGCTTTGTCTCTGTTTATTGCATTCACAGCAGTCCATCAAGTGGAGGAGGACTGGGAATGGAGCTTAAATAGACTATTTCTAGGGTAGACTGCAAAACCTTCTGAAATGTTACAGGAAGAAAAGACAGGAAATTCTTTTGAAAAACACAACTGTTATTCAACAAATAGGAAAAATTTAACAGGCAGAAATCAGTTCTCTCTCAAAATGTCTTTCGCATAAGTGCATTCTTGTTTTCAGAGCCTCAGCCAGAAGAGATGACTGCACTCGAAATATTTATCTTTCTCCAGCTAAGTGCTCTGAAGATTAGATAGGTCAAAGGGACTTTTATTGTACTCTACCTTCAAAACCTCAAGTCACTGTATGAAAGCTCATACATTTGTGATTTTAAGTAGTTTGATAACCCACCAGGAAATAGGGCTGTGTGGAATTGGGGCTGTTGTGCCTGAGAGCCTGCAGGAATCCAGTCCCTCATTCCATCGCAGGACAGGATATTTGCACTTTATTCAAGGAAGTAAAGAGAAAAGCAATTTGCATTTTGCATTAAAATGGTATTAAAATGCGAGACAGCATGGAACAGTGAGGCTTTTTCACAGCCCCAAACCTGCCAGAGCTCAAGGAGTGTTTGGTCAACGCTCTCAGGGATGGGGTGGGATTGTTGGGGTGTCTGTCCAGGGCCAGGAGTTGGACTGGATGATCCTTGTAGGTCCCTTCCAGCTCAGGAGAGTCTACGATCCTATGCTTTCTCAGTTAGAAAAAGATGCATTCTGAACAGGATCCTCGAGCAAATATTCCAGTCTTTACTATCTTGTGGAACCAGTCTGCCCACACTTGTGATTAGTTCTTGCTTTAAGAGGGAACAGTGGTTTCATTGTTACCATGTACTTGCTGGTTGACGATAAGGGGGAGTTACAGTGGAAATGTAACATCGAACAGCTGGTTTTGTCATGGGGTCAAAGAAGCATAACTGGAATAGCAGGATACCATTCAGATGGGTGGCCATGAGGGAAGGCAGAGAGAGTCACAGAATCATAGAATATGCTGAGCTTGAAGGGACCCACAGGAATCATCCAGTCCAACTCCTGACCCTGCACAGGACACCCCAACAATCCCACCATGTGCCTGAAAGCATTGTCCAAACACTCCTGGAGCTCTGGCAGCCTTGGGGCTGTGCTCACTGCCCTGGGGAGCCTGGGCAGTGCCAACCACCCTCTGGGGGAAGAACCTTTCCCTGAGATCCAACCTGACTCTGCCCTGACACAGCTCCAGCTGTTCCCTGGGTCCTGTCACTGGTCACCAGCATTTTTCATTTGTGTCTTTATTTGTAATCAACAAATACCACTTGTTCTCTGCCTTGTGTGACACATTGTGTTGGATCCCTGGCTACTACAACTAACTTTGTTTTAAACTTATGCACAACTTAATGATTTTTCACCGTGGGGTTCAGTCACTTCCACGGGGCCTTGGCAAGATAATGGAGCAAATGTTTCTGTCAGGAGGCTTCTGTTCTCTCTTGGGATCTGTATTTTTGCCAGAAGACAGGGATCAGCAAACTGAAAACAGCTGGAAAATGCTTATTACCTACATGTATGAAAACCCAGTGGGATGCAGGGATTTAGTACCTGGTAGGTACTGACACTACTTTACTGGTAGGATCAGGGCTTGAGACAACAAATTGAGGGAAGTAACTCAGATCCAGTGAAGATCTCTTTAGGATTTAGCTGAATTTGAGCTACAGAAAACACACACTTTGAATAGTGATGGGGCTGTGCTGAAATCACCCCTGGCTGCGGGATGATCTGAAATTTGCTGGGAAACTCCACGTTGTGGAGGACTGTCCGGTACGGCTGTAATTAATTAGACCTCGCTGTAATGAGTTAACCCTCTGCCTGTAACTCTGTAATTAAGCCGCCCGTGGCTCCCGCCGCCCCAGCGCGGCCCCCTCAGAGCGCGGCGCCTCCGCGCCGCCAGGGGGCGCCCTCCCCGCGCCATTCCCGCCCTCCCCGCGGGTGCCGGTGCCCAAGATGGCGGCGCTGGGCCCGTGGCTGTGGCCGGGGGTGACGGGCACGGCGGCGGCTCTGCTGCTGCTGCTGCTGCTGCTGTGGCGGCGGCGGCGGGCGGGCGGCGCGGGCCGGGTGTGCGTGGCGGTGCTGGGGGACGTGGGCCGCAGTCCGCGGATGCAGTACCACGCGCTGGCGCTGGCCCGGCACGGGCGCGAGGTCTCGCTGCTGGGCTATCTCCGTGAGTGGGGGGCGGCGGGGCCGGGGGGG